CTCTTTGCCTCTCTTCTCCCATCGTCCGAGCTCCTTTCTTCCTTTCTCTTCCGCTCTCATCAGTATATTTATCCTCTCCATCTTACTTTGTACTTTCCACTCTCTCTCCTATTCTCTTCGTTCTTCTAGCACATTTTTATCTCTTATCTTCCCTTCTGTATTCTTCTGTCTTCGCCTCTCTCCACTTATCTCCTCTCATTTGTTCTTCTCACGTTTTTCCTTACCATATTTTCCCTTCTTCGCCTCTCCTCTCTCCCTTTACATATGAATTTTTTACGTATCTTCCCTCCTCTTGATGATTACGGTGATGACAGAAGAGAATAATTGAAGAAGAGAAGTATAATTCAAAATAAAATATTTTAGGAGGGGACTGGAATCAGTCTGAAAAACTGTGATACTTAAAAAACTTATTACATTCCACAAATGTGGAAGTCAGTTATTCCAGAAGCGAGAATTTCCTACTAGTTAGCAACATCGTTGGGCACAGTATTTAAGACGAATGCCGGAAACTGTCTCACATCGTCAGTCCTGGGTCGGAGAGGTCATTTGATTTGTTTGGGTCCGATAACCCGCCATCCATGTAAACTACCGTGTCCAGACACTCCCATGTTATCCGCTCGGCCTACGGGCATCACCAAACTAGAACCTCTCGCTGATTGTGCAACTGAAGCCTTGTTCGCCATTTCCGGGCTATACTAATTCCTGTATCAGATCATACACATGAAGAGACTTTTGCTTTTTCACTCTTGATTGTGCTCATTAAGGAACAACATTGAAACTTTTTCTATTCTTTTCCGCTACATACTCATTTCCCGTGATGTGTTATTATATGTTTCCTTTGCACCAATGTCGTAAGATAAACTTGTCTGTTCATCCGTTCGAATAATTCCTCTTCGCTAACATACTTCGATAAAGTACGGTATTTGGTGCCTATCCCAGGCGTCTGGTCAACGCGGTTTCGGTACACATATTCCCTAATCTGAGACTTACGTTCATGTATTCATCACAAAACGTGCAAAAACAGGACAACGTAGAATCGAATATGTTTGTCGACGTGCAACGTAGTTCAGAGGCGTATAATATTGGTCAGTCGTAATCATAGTAAACTACGGATTAAATCTGGGCATTTTTAACAACTCAGAACCCTTCCGCGCCTGAGTATATTTTTTTCTAAAATTAAGACTTTCATGACCATTTTAGAACAGGGACAAACTCCTATGCCACAGAAGAGAAATTTAGAGACTTAAGGTTAAAGATACATAAAAAGTACCAAGTCGGTGTTTTATAATGGGCATTGAAGATAAATAAAGCTAACATGAAGAAGCAAAATTTACAAAATACTAAGCAGGATTTGAGGTTCTCACAGCGGTGAAAAAGCCGACAGCTGTCTTTTGAGTTGGACCGTAGTGTAGTCTGGTAGAAGTTTACCAACGTTTCACGGTTCTAGATATTTTTACTTTGAAGCTGAATTCCTGTATTAACATTTCTGATTATGCGAAGCGAGACCTGCCACTTGAAATGAGGGCGGAAATTGTAACACAGTGACCACTATAGTTAAAAAAAATTGACAAGCTCAATTTCGGTATTAGCAACATAAGCAATGTAATTTTTTTCATAAATGCTATTGAATAATCTCTAAGAAATAAAATTATCAGACATAATTCATATTTCATTGACAAACACACAAGTATTACGCTTCTAAAGGAAATGTCTAATTCTGCCGAAGACACGAATCAAAAGTCTTCCACGCCAGCCGGCAGAATCCCACAGAACAACTGTTTAGGGTCTAGACTCTAGACAATGATTTCCAGAAACAATGACGACAATGAAGAAGACTTTTCCCCCTTACTTAAAAGCATTTATGGTTCCTTATGCAGTCTGGAATTTACTTCGTGTGAGTTTTGCCATAACAACCGCATCAACTTTATGTATTTTGATGAGTATAAGGGGAGCGGAGGTTAAGGCAGATATCTGCCATCGTACCACTAACGTCCTAGCAACCTGGAGTTATTATTCCTGCTTAGAAACTGGGCTTAAGTAACAACCGACGTGATCCGAAACACAGAACTTTCTTACAGAACAATTGATCCGATGTAGAGATTATTCCAACACGAATTTCAAGATAATCTGGTCCAAAGAACTTTACCGACTCTTACGGTACATCACGCTTCGGGCACCCAGTTATTCTTTCATTGTATTTCCCCTCCTCCTTTTAAGGATAAGGTACTGTAGCCTCTTGAAGTTCAGAATTATTTATTACCGTGAAATCTGTTCGACACGCTGGAGAATTCAAGGTCTCTACCGAACGAGGAAACGTACAAACGAGGATAAATATCCTGAGGAGATTTAAACCTGCGGCACACCCAGGACGTTAGACAATCTTAAAGTTGCCCTTCTGTCTGAAATCATGCATGTTATGAGAAGGTCAACACGCGCTGAACACCATGTCCATGTAACAAGACTGGTTAGTTTCGCACTTAACCGCTTTACATCGCGAAAAGAAGTGTCCGATACGCGTTACATAGGAAGTTCATTCCAATCATTTTGTCATGGGAAGATGGTTTGGCCTCGGAGCCTTTATAGACCTTGCAGCGAAGAGAAAACTCTATCTCTGCCGGAGAGGCAAGCCCGGGGTTCGAGACAACACCCAGTAACTTATTGTCATACAATGATGGAATTGTTGGTGATGGTGTTGCCTTATTATTGTTATTATGGAACTGTATTACAATGGATCATTAAATTCATTAAAGACAGACAAATACTGGTGATAGTACAGTAGGACAGTAATAAAAATCAATCAAATTAATCGGCTAGAAAATCTGCAACAGAATCCTGTATCCTATAGGGACAGAGAAATTTGGGGCTGCCACCGAGAGACAGGGAACACATTCAGAATATTCGACTAATAGTTATTTGGAAGACCGGGGAACACATTCAGAATATTCGACTAATGGTTATTTGGAAGAAGAAAATCAGAGTATAACATTAAACGGGCCTTAGGGAGACATGTTGGCAAGATCAGATATAGATTTAACCAGCAAAGAACTGTGTCCAGATGAGGGCTGCGATGTCAATCTTCTGGGTTCGCTACCACATTGTCAATTTACTTCTGCTACCGTTGTTGTACATCTGAACCTCGGGATCTCTCGCAATCAACTTGGCAACTTACAAGTACTGAGTACTAAGCATCGTGGCGTTAAACGGTTAAAAATCTTCGTGCTACATGCGAGCGGTAGAATTCTTAAAAGGGAACTTGAAATGCGACAGATAAATGTCAGTAGGATAGAAAGCAGTGGTGTATCACCGATCTATGCAAACACCCGATCACTTTCTCACCGTAATTAGCTCGTTATTCTAATAGGAGGGAAGGTTTCGGTCACGGCGAACTGAATTTCCCATGAAATACTCTTCAGCGTTTTTGGTTTTCATGTTTCAGATTAGATGATGTTATGCATAATTGGTTCTATTGGGAGAAACGGTAACAAATTAGACGTGGGACTCAAATATACCATTACAAGCATGTCACGATCTGAGAAACGATTATGAAGGTATGCGCGTACAAATGAGAGGCACATGAACCTTGTCTTCTGTAATTTGAAATTACGAAAGTGGAAAAGCAATTAGGGACCACACAAGCATTTTAAAAGCCATGTTTCTATTCGATAGCATCTATGCCTTTTCATCTATTACGTCTGAACCTTCACCAATGTTAAGTCATACCTCAGATATGTTAAACGCCAGCATGTTAGATTCAATTTAAAAACTTAATTTCTTCTTAACTGGTCTTATTTTCTGATAAATGGCTTCCATCAACTGGTGGTAGGCCATTCGACTGCTTGAATCATAAATAAGGAATTCCATCGGAACCTGGCAGCTAGCTTCTTATATTCAAGTCATATTTTGAAGAAATTATTAGGTTAATCGGAAGCTAGAAAATTTATTTGTAATTTATTTTGGGTGCATGTTGCAAGGATTTTCGTATACATTCCATCAGAAGTTCATCTCTAGGGCCCGTTGTTAAGGAAAAAAAATCTTACGAAATATAAGGCCGAACAAGGTCCAGACCATATATACACATACATTTTAACAACGCTTTCTCAACTGCAACGGTTATTTAGCGTAAAATGCACAACAGGGATGTGCCTTCGACGGAACTTCTATACTTCGGGACAGAACGGTTTATGATTTCTAAATTCAATGAACAGATTTGATGCAAGAAAATCACAATTATTAATTTCCTCTCTTAAAATAACTTAAACATGCACGCAGATTTTGGCAAGGGACTGAATACGAATCTCACTGTCCTGTTCCTTGATGTAGGCATGTGGGTTATTATTCCACAGCTTAGAGGTGACTTTAACGGGTGTTATCCTAACAACAAAGAAGGAACTGCAAGCCATAATAACGGAGCCTTTGGTGAATAGTGGTCGCGGAGACTTATGCACGCAGCACTGGACAAAGTTGCTAAATCACTTCTTCAAGGTACCGGAGAGTACGTATCATTAAACATTTACAAAGAGATTCTTTCAAGCGGCCAGAGAATATTTTCACTAATAATAGTTATAAAGAAACAAAACTGAAGGTGCTATAAAATGTTCGAGAACAATGTTTCCGTTTGTATGAGCTCTGAACAAAGAGCAGAAAATAAACTCATAATGGAGATGACGTGTCAGTGCATATACATGTTCCATCTCCGTAACTACTAGGTTGATTTCGATTAAATTTGGTATTGTAGTTTGAATAAAAATTGTCTCACGCAATGCGACCATTACATCTGGTGTGACGACATTCCCAAACTGTGTGTTAAGTTGAACGTTTTGATGTCAAGTCTGGGTTCTATTTGTTTGATTTGTCTGAAGTCGCAAATGAATCCAATTTAAATCAACCAATCAATTAATTTATCTACCCCTATTTGGTCGATTCATACTAAACTGCGCACACACATACACACACAAAAATTACTTTCCCTATTGTAAAAAGATTTGGTTAGAATAACTTACCCCAACTCTTTTTCGTGCGTCCGTTCCTCCTGTATCACCTCGTACCCACTTCAACATGGCGATCTGGCATCATATATTTCAGCCCACTTCACACTTCACACTTTATCTCACTGTTTCAAGACTCTCTCACTTCACTTGAAAATTCTTCATCAAACCAGTTAAATAATAAACTTCAATCCTGTTTACAGACTAAATTGAAAACTACACGGTATACCCGTATGAATGTTTCCAAATTAATGCTACTGAAGTGGTTATAAGGTCCTAAAAATTACTACGATAAAATTAGTTATCGCTGTGATTTCAAATTCTCACGGCGGTCTCATCGCCCTGAAGATGGTGGCAGCAAGCACCTCCGAAATGTCAGAAAACGGCTATAAGAGTACTCGGCTCAACATCCCAGAAGATAGTTATCTTCAAATAATTTATCGCCTCGCGGCAGTAAGAGGCGACAATCGTGGTTAGATAATTTCCAATATTCGACGCGGCTCACCCCCGAAATCTGAATTTGTACAGTGAACTACAGCCGCAAAAACCTATAGACAAAAATTAATTTGAAATGCTGAAGATACCAAAATACGGCTACCTCTGTCATGGCTTCTTCAGAATAACTGACGACAAAGATCTTCAACATCGGCATTTGCTTCCTCTTAAAAATGACCGCTCGCCAAGTGGCCCACAACGTAATTAAAAGCCGAAGTCTTACTTTTGGGATTAAGAAAGAGAATGTAGTCTATCAACAAATCGAATCTCCTTTCAAGGTGAAAGGGAGAACACACTGAACACTTCCAATGCTGAAACATCGGAATTTACTTGACTATGTGAAGACAGAAAAGCATCGACTAATACAGACAGTTATATGGGGCTAGTTTCTAATCTTGAAATGCGATAACACGTAAATGGACACGATCACTCCATTAAAAATATAACATTATAGTACTTAAGTACCGCGTACTTATCAAGCCCGTTTGAATTTTACTGGTAATAGCCCGACCGTCACTCAAATTACAGTCGATTCAGGCCTACTCTGTATCATCAAGCGCGTTACTGCTGTGTAGAACAGTCAGCACAGCGATATAAGTTGGGTCTACTAAATGAGTGAGTCCTGCTAGATGTCTTCAAATTCACTTTCAGATATAAATCTGAATCGGAACAGCTCAAAAGTCGTGGAATAAAACAAATGGGTTTTATATACGGCAGATACTAATGGCCTCGCAGTATTAGTCGCACCAAATCAAACTGCAGATACATCGATGTCGTCAGATTCCGAAATAGACAACAACCATTTTCTCTAACACTCTTCCAACTCACCATTCATAATATCCCTTCAGTTCATCATATTATTATTGGACATGCAGTTGTAATAAATAGCTCAATTGGGGCAGCGAACAGTTCGTTGTGTTACATTTAAACCACCGAAGAAAGTTCATGCCTCAAAAGACAAGAACTTGTCATACAGATCTGGTCATGGATTTTCTTATTCGTAAGTCTGATACTTCGGTTAGGAAGCGAAGGGAGAAGCCTTACAACTTTCCTTATTATTTATATCCTAATGGTGTCGCGAGCATCAGCCTTAACCTCTTCCAACGGTGTATTCAATTCTATCAGACAAATGATTATAAAATATTAGAAGAGCTGTCCAACGAGACTGACTCGGATTCAGACGGTATCCAATCGAACCCAGACCAGGGATCTACTATACTTACTTGCATTATTCGTGACCTCTTCAGTCTATGTAAGCTTTGGGACATTATATATAATGTGGTGTATTTAACAACGCCATAAATAACGAAGTCTATATATCGTCGGATAATACGATAATTAATGAATAAGAATTGTAAAGAATACGGAAGAAAGCGGTCGTGTAATAATATGAGGCAGTATCCGAGCATTTGCTCATATGGTCTGAGGAAATCTACACGTGGGCTAACCGGTCTCATTGCCGAGATTAGAAACACAGGATCTCGAAGCAAGAGTAACGTAGGAGGAGTAAGGTCAAAACTGTTTCCTTACAAATCCTTCCCGATTCATCGTTTACAATATCTGACGTTAAATAACCTTAGCAGTCGTAAAATAATTTATTAAATAAACCAGAAGTCACAGCCCTCAGAATTCTACTAATATGAAATCTAACATTAAATCCTCTCTTCAGATTAAACCACCAAGAAAAATTAATGTGCGTTATTCACTACACTCAGGCAATTTCAGAGGTTTTACATTTATCACAACGTAAAATACAATCGTACAGGCCAATATAAATTGGTAAAACATTACTTGAGCCATCTTGCGCAACCCTATTCCGCTAAAGTAAAGTATGTAATATTAAGAATGAATAATGAAACTGACTTCTGAGGTGTATTCTGGCAGAAGTTTACCGACGTTTCAGAGAAGTTTGCTGCCTCCATGGTCAGGCAAGCAGCTCTGAAATATCGGTAAATTACACAACGCAACATACCATAAGGCAGACATCTTCATACCCGCTGCCGTAAGAACCTGAAATCTTACGAAGAACGAATTAAATCAATTATTTAAAGCTCTTTGTATTTGTCCTTCCATGTACACAGCGTACAATACACAGTATGATTTTCTAAGAGAGAAACAACCTGTCCTCAAGGTCAACTATTATTTATGAAAATAAGAGCACTTTTCTGAGCCATCGAACTACGATTCAGGTCACGGTTTTCCAACTAAGAATTCGTAGATACTGATAAAAAGTGGTATTCCTTGTTAAAACACGTTTACTATCACGAAAGAAGAGAAACTTCCGCTACCCTTACATGTCACGTTACAAACTCACGAGAGCGCAACACGGAACTGAATCACCAGCCACACCGAGATGCAATTAAAATAGCATCCGGTCATGTCTGTTACTCGCAGGTCGCTAGAACCGGAAAGTGCTATTCGGGTTTGTAACGAACACTGAATGATGAATTCTTCTGTTATCGTGTCGGAAGACAGTGCAAGAAGAAGTCGACTCCGGTAGGCGAGCGACATGAAGCCCGGTCTTACTTAGGCCGATCACACACTTGAACCGCTACTTCAAATACTCCGGGTCTCGAGAAATTCGTTAATGTATATGACACCAAATTTAGATTTCTATTTGATTTCTTAAGTTTTCGGCTCCGAAACGCGACAGACTTTTGTCCCTTTTCCTGATACTCACATATAGACATTGCAAACTTACAGTAGTCGGGACAAATCTGTGCACTCCGCGGCCTTTAAAAGTATAACGTAAGGAGATCAAAGGTGTTGGGAAGGTTAGCATATAATGTCCAACATTACTCCCCAGCGACAGTGCTTTGTTCCTCACTGTCCCAGTTTCTGCGTTGGTAATGTATTTCGTTTGCGTAGTACATGCGTTTCTTTTCCTTATACCCGGCAAGATTGTGACGTAGACACGGTTTCGTCCCTTCTACTTTAATGCAATTTTCGCTGAGCAATTAATCAAAAATGAAGAGAATAATCCCAATTCAGAGCGCTTGTATGGGCTAAAAGAACATTGCAGTTCCCTCCTAATGTCGGTTAGGGAAATTAAACTCAACACAAAGAACCGAGACCTGATCTTAATAGCCCAATTCTTACAGTGATTTCACGCCTTGATACGATACGAAATGAGGCCATTAGAGAAGAGATAAAAATAGTTTATTTGTAGAAACGGACAATGTGGACTGCCACAGGGAGAAACAGACCTGTCATCTCTTCAAGAAAGAACGTTACACCGAGAGATTTCAGGTTCTCAAGGTGACGAGTAAGGAATCTGCTGTCTTCTGGGATATTAAGCTGCGTACTCAGGTATAGTTTGATGTTTCAGAGGCACTTACTGCCTCCATCATTATGGCATCGCACGGCGTGTATCACTAATAAGGAAACAGAGACCCTGACATCCAGACTAAGAGAGTTTGAAGTCTGAATAGTAATTTAATTGTGGATGTAGAAGATTTATGATCGACTAGATTCTTAAACGAGAATAATTTATGTTAGCGACACTGTTTAACGTAGCATCATCGTACGAGAGTCGCCATTGCCTGTGTGAACGGTTGAAATTCATTTCACGCGACTTAACGCGCCGTTAGTTTAATTTCACGAATCATTCATTCTTCACTTTGTCCGGTAGCCTGGTAACTCCTGTCTCAGAAATACGAATATAGGTAATATCGGTAATCTCAAGTGGTAGCGGGTTTAATTTATATGCAGAAGATACGCGGTTCTATTCTCGTCCAGGACACGGGCTATTGTGATTATTATTCTCATTTTAACTAAAGAAACAAAAATATCACAATATTCTTATTGTTGCTACAGCTTGATTCTAACCTTCAATCACAGGTCTGATAGGTCGATTCTCCTTTTAATCACGATGATTTTTCGACAGCGCTGGTTATATTGTTAAATGATAGTTTTTCTGAGAATGATAAAATTGAAAGAATTAAGATGGATGCACCAGTGACCCCTCTGGAGACTCTGTAACGGTATTTTCCTAGAGATACTGAATAAAACCCGAGATACATCAGTCAGGATAACTAGTATGTGGGTCAAAATTCGAACTCTGGGCCTATCAATACAAAGACAGATTACCAACGAATCATAGACCCAGAGGGATGAAAGCGTCTTTGACTTAAATAAAAACTCCTAGTTGGAAGAAAAGTCCATTGCAAGGCCTCTACCTTCAAGCAACAAGACAGAAAAACGCGAACAGCCATACCCTAAAGGGGATTCAAATCGGTGATCCCAAATGAATCGCCAAATCACAATCTAAATAAGTATTACGTTCTACAACACACACAAAAAAAACATCTCAGCAGCACTTTTAAATAGTCCGCAACTTCACAAAACACGAAAACACTTTTTGCACTTCACGTGACGTCGAGCGACAACAACCAAGCAGATCTGTACGGAAGCAGCAGCGTGTTGTAACAGCTGAACTGCCCATGTTACCACCATCGGTACGCTCTCCTTTCATCTAGGTCATGCCACATTAACATTCCGCCAACGAGAAAGTTGATTTCAAGCAAAATTTAATAGCCGTGCCATTTCTCATTAGCACAGAATTGCCCGGATAAAACGAAACACAAAACACTGCTGGAAAACAGTGTTCCTTTTGTGTTCTGAGTAGTGTGAAATAACCCGTGCGCCCTGTCGGAATTTTTAATACAAGAGCTATTACAACCTTTTTGTTGTTGTTTCAGTTTTGAATTTACAGTGGCAAATCATTATAAGTTCTTTGCTCATCGCGGCCAAGTAGTTTACAACCCCGCTTTGTATTTGGGAGGTCCCAGGTTCAAATCTTGGCCCTGAAATAGGCTATCCTGACAATTGTTCGAAGTATTCCTAGTCACTCCAGGCAAATGCATGGACGGTACCTTAAATTAGGCCTTGACAGCTTCATTTTATACCTTCTTCCATTAATTTCTTAATTAATCACCCTACTATTCCACGTTTAAATACACCACAAACAAACAAATAATCATTATACAAGTTTTAAAAAATTGATGGGGGGGGGGGAATTTCACTACCTAAAACACTCGTTTCAGGGCACAGAATATAAAAATCATATTTCCGTACGATTAATCTCTAAATCTGCTAAATGTATTTCAATTAAATTTTGTATTTTGTGTGTGTGTGTGGGGGGGGGGGGAGTATCACATTAAAGTTGCAAATCGCTTTGCTGCTTTGGTGTATACCTTTCCATTCTTATTTAATGTATCACGTAGTCTATAGTAAATATGCCTAGTCTTGGGCCGCAAACTACGCGACTATCTACTTGTTAACATTGCTACACTGCCAGTTCTGTCTTGCGATTAGACGCAAAACTGTTT